GGAGCTCCGCATGAGCCTGCCAGCCCGCCTGCGGCCCTCCACTGCACACCCGCGCTCCGCCTCCCTCAGCCACCCGGTGGCGGAGGTGGAGCGGACGCGCTGCGGGACCCCTGCGCCAGGACCCGGAGGCCGGTTGCGCCTGAGCAGCCAGCAGCGGGACTGGTGCTTCTCAGAGCCAGGGAAGCTCGATCACATGGGTCAGGGCGCTGGGCCCGCAGGGAAATGCCCAGCCGAGGCTTGCTCTGCCTCTGGCCTCATCTGGCCGCAGCCCCAGGGGCTGCAGCCTGGGGCGGAGTGCGAAGGCCACCAGGTCCGACGGGGGACCCAGCTCCCAGGCACAGCAGACCGGGCCCTTGGATCTTCGAAGCACCGTGAGGCTTACAGGCCGGCCAGCCGGAGTCAGCACACTTCCGGTGAAGACTTGGGCCGCTGGGGAGGCCCAGGTGGGGTTATAGCCAACGTCCAGGTATGAAAAATGGGGATTCATCCCGGAGGGGTGGGATGGATCACCTAAGAGACCCAAGCTTCATGCACATTTTATCAACTGTTTGTCTTTCCAGGCTGTTCCCCAAGGAGCAGATCCCCCCAGAGCATTGTGTCAAGGCAGACCCCCCAGGTGAGATGCACGGGCCACTCTGGGGTCGAAAGCTGAGGTAGGCAGCTGTCATAGCTCGTCTCCAATGAAGGAGTGGCCTCCCTCCGTCTGAGCCACCCCCTTGCAGCACCAAGAGCTTTTTGTGGACATGGTAGCTTCCTGTAGCTTAGTGGGTACTTGTTAGGCTGCTGACATCAAGGCCAGCAGTTCAAAACCACCAGCCACTCTGCAGGAGAAAGATGAGGCTCTCTACTCCTATAAAGATTACAGTATTGGAAACTCATAGGGGCAGTTCTACTCTGTCCTATTGGGTCACTATGTCAGAATCGGCTTGATAGCAGTGAATTATTTCATTTTAGTGGACCCCTGGGGCCCTTGTGGTCTAAGGGAGGGTCCCTGCCTACAGGCTTCTGGTTCCGGAGGTGGTTGCAGCGGTGTGTCCTGCAAAAAGCCCCCAGGACAGCCCTGTGGACTGTGAGCAGAGGGTGCCTGCCCTGCTCCCTTCTCTGCCGGATGATGATGTTTTCCTGGAAGATGCTCCCTGGGTTCGAACGAGGTCATCCCAAGACACCTATCTGCCCCAGGGGCTTCCAACCAGGTAAATGTCCTCTTGTTCCAAGCAGAGTGAGTTACCCATCCTTCCCCCCTTGCAAACATCCACAAAGGACTAGAGGAGAAGGGGCCCACCTCCTAACCTGACCCTGAAATCCAAGTGGGTGGGAGTGGAGGTAAATGGCTCTTGGAAGTCACCACTGTCTATGGCTCGAGCTTTTTCTAATCTCGTTTTCTTCCAATTCTAGTGCCTGTGCCACTGATCAACAGGATGGGGCTGACCTGGACCAAAGGGCTAGCCAGGTTACAGTCACCCCAGAACAGCCTCCCCAGGATTCCCCAGCAGCTGCAGGGGCAGACAGCTCTCGGCAGGGGGTGAACGGTTCTGTAAGTGACACTGGGGTCCCATGTTGTGACCCCTCTGGAACTGCAAATACTGACAATCCAACCAATGACCCCAGCAGACTGCTGGTTGCCCAAACCCCTGCAGTTGCAGAGAGTGGCTCTCGAAAGCCTCTCCCAGTGGATGCCCTGGGACCTCCAGGCAGTAGTAATCGGAGCCCTCCTGGCCACACAGCCCTAGCCCAGGGCACTGGCAAACCAGGTTCCAGGCCAGTATGGTCCCGTCAGCGGCTAGAGGAGCTGGTTCAGGAGCTGGCCAGGCTGGATCCCTCTCTGAGTGACACCCTGACTGCCCAGCCCAGCCCCGACCCCCCCCTGGAAGTGTTGGATGGGCTGATTCCTTTAGCCGAAGTTTTGGCTGCAATGCGCCCAGCCTGTGGGGAGACTGGAGAAGTGGCTGCTGGTACTTCTGAGCCAAGGTGAGTGACAGGCACCAGGCACTCTGGGGATTCGAAACCTGACACTGTGTGTGGCCAGCCCAGGGAGCTCTGGCTCTTTCCCCAGGTCCTGCCTACAGAGTTCTGCCCAGTTCCAGACCACTTCTCAGGAGGAGACAAGTGCTGAAAACCCCACCGCATGCCCTACCCCTGACCAGCCGTATGGCCAGGCCCCCTCTGAGCCAACCAACAGCATCCAGGACAAGAAGGTGAGTGTGGAGGGGGGCTATTAGGGTGAGAGCCCTGGACCTGGATGGAAAAGTCAGGGCCTGACCCCAGCCCAAGGAACTCTGGTGGCATCTTGTGTTACCTGCGAATAGAAGGTCAGCAGTCTGAAGCCACTAAATGCTCAGGAGAAAGATGGGCTCTCTGCTCAGGAAGCGTTACAGAGAGGCAGTTCTACTCTGTCCTATGGGGTCACCATGGGTTGGGATCAACTGGATGGCAGTGAGGTGGTGTTTTTGGCTTGTGCCTTGAAAATTCGACCTTCCATGCAGGGGGAGCTCGCTGACCTCCTCCAAAGGATGCTTCGGGACCTTCAGGCAGAGCAGGAGAGGCTGCGGTCAGCGGCCCAGGCCTGTAGCAGGCGCAGCGCCGCTCTCGAGTCCGTGATGGGCCAGACCTGTGCACCCCGGGAGCTCGAGAGGTTCCGCCGCTTCATGGCTGACCTGGAGCGCGTGCTGGGGCTGCTGCTGCTGCTGGCCAGCCGCCTGGCCCGCGTGCGTTCTGCCCTGATCCGAGTGGGTTCAAACGGCGACCCTGAGGAGCGGGTAAAAGGGGTTCAGGCTGTTGGGGAACGGGGCAGAAAGGGTCCCTGAGTCTCCCACGGGAACATCCCAGGAGTGGCTCACGTGCCCTCTCCCCGCTGCGCCAGGCCTCTCTGCTGCAGCGGCTCAGGCTCCTGGAGCGGCAGCAGGAGGACGCCAAGGAGCTGAAGGAGCACGTGGCGCGGCGGGAGCGGGCGCTGCGCCAGGTGCTCATGGGGACATTGGCGGCGGAGGAGCTGCGTGCCTACTGCGGCCTGCTGGCCAGCAAGGCCGCCCTTCTGGCCCAGCAGCGCAGTCTGGACGAGCAGCTCCGTCTCCTCCAGGACCAACTGGACATCATCAGCGGTGACCTTGGCCATCGCTCCCCACCCTTCAGACCGGCCTGGCCTCCAGGGAGCCGACCTCCGGATAAACCGCCCTTCCCCCCTCCCTTCATCTAGCTCTGGGTGGCGCAGGCCGGGCTGCTGGCCCTGCTTCCTTCTCACCCATGCGACTTCCGAAGCGGACATTGTTTGACTTGGTGCTGGTCCCGTGAGGGCTTCAGGGCCTTGGGGGTGGGGGGTAGGCACGCTAGGCTGGACTTCCGGCGCCCCCCGGGATACTCCTTCGAAATGTTCTTACGCAAGTCTCGGGTATATTTGGTAATTAGCTTAATGGGTCTTAAAAACGGCAGTATTCTCCCTTTTTTTGTGAGGAAAGAGGGCCTCGTGCCAGGTGTGGAGAAGAGATAAGGAGAGGGGCACTTCACCTTTAGACATCATGTGGCGTGTGTTCGTTTCTGCAATAAATATCGACAAGAGCAGTGTGTATGCCGCTTGGCGCATATTGGATTGGCAGGGGGAGCCAGGCTCTCCTGTGTATGAAATGCAGACCCCAGTCCTGGCTGACGGCAGGACAGGGGCGGGGACTGGGAAGGCTGGAGAAGCAGGCTTTGAAAACAGGGGCTCAAGGGAGATCCTGGGCCCTCAACTCCATGGCCTAATCAGTCCTGGTTGGTCTGGGGACTACACTCCCCTGCAAAGCTTAGGTCCTTAGGTCAATTGGCTTCTACCCAAACTGCCAGCTTCAGTTACAGAAGTGTGTGTGTGTGTGTGTGTGTGTGTGTGTGTGTGTGTGTGTGTGTGTGTGTGGTGGTGGTGGTGGTGGGGTCCTGTCTCAAGAGTTAGAAGATTCCCCCCAAATTAACAATGGATTCAGAAGTTTGCTGCCTAAAAACCCAACCACATGTCCTGTGCACTAAGCTTTTGAGAATAGTCATTCCAAGACTTGTTTCCTCCTCTCAACTGTGGTCCCCAAACTGAGTTTGCCTATCTTTCCTTTGTTTTTCCCCCTTTTTCTCTTTTTTATATTATTAAGTTTAAAAGTTTTATTTCCATATATTCATATACCATACAATTTAATGGTTTACATATTTAAGGAGGGTATGCAGACAATCATTTCCACAGTCAATGTTAGAACACTTTCTTCATGTTTGTACTCATTATTAGCTCCCCATTTCCCATCAACCTCCCCGCCATAACTCTAAGAAACACTCAATCTAGTTACTGTCTGTATAGATTTACCTATCCTGGATTTCATGTAAAGAAAAATCATACCGAAACAGCAAAAAGAAAACAACTACAGTCACAAAATACAGACAAACCTCCATCCATAAGAAAGAAGAAAATAATAAAAATTAGAACAAATAAAGAAGGAGTCAAAAGGGAAAACAAGTGATAAGATGTTAGATGTTAACCTAACTCTTACCTGCATTCATCTACTTTCCTATGCACTCTGAGGGCAAGACCATGCACAGCCCTGGCCAGTGGTCACAGGAAATCCAAGGGAGGCTTAATCCCCATGGGGACTCTGCACAGGAGTCTTGGCTTGTCCCTGTCATCCATAGCCTTCTGCAAACCCACCCACCTCTCCTTTGCAGAGCCCACTGGGTCAGGCCTGAAGAGGGCATTTGGCGCTGGGAGTGGGGGTGGCGGAGTGAGAAGTAGAAGGTCTGGAGGCTTGCCATGTGGGACTGAGGACCCCAAGAGGCAGCTTGGGTTGCATGTCAGAGAGGCAGGTCTGGGGTGGGTGGGTTGGGGTGTTCGTGGGCTGTTTCAGGCTGGTACAAAAATTGGGACAAGTTCCTCTCCCTCTGAGCATGGACAGAATCCGTTAGAAGCCAAGACGTTGTTGTGAGCTGCTGTCAAGTTGATCCCAACTCATGGCGACCCTAAGTGTGTCCCAGAGTGGCACTGTTTTCCAGCCTGTGACCTTTCAGAAGCCCGTCTTCAGGGGGTGAGGAGTTCACACTGAGAACCCATCAGCCAGTAGTCAAACCCGTACCCATATGCACCACCAGGGCCTCCAGACCCTATGATGTGCCTGTGAACATCGGCAGCGTTTGTAGCAGCAGAAACTAGAGGCAAGTCCACGGTTGAAGCAAATGTTCCATTTATTTTTGGAACTAGGGCACATGAAGGCATGTGCATGTGTATTTAAAGCCAACTGACCCCAAAGTGAGACATTTCTGCTTCTGGGCTTGTTTTCTGATGCTTATTGTCACTAAGTGCAACTGGTTGGGGGTTTTAAATGGTCCTATTCATACCCAAAGCATTAGTTATAACAGTCACACTATTGAGCACAGAACAATGCTCACATTGTGCCATTTTATAAAAAACATATGGGGCTTCTGGGGAGCCCACCGCTGCTCTAACATTATGCTTCCCTCCTCCCTCCCCTGCCTTTGAACTCGGTGGGCGGGGCCTCCCTCCAAGGCCCTCAGCCTGGAGGGCAGCTCCTTCTGATAGATGGGTTCTGAAAGCAATTCACTTATTTCCTCTGCCTCTTGCCCCGTGCAATTCCCATTGCGCTCTCCCATTGTGATATTCTCAGAAACACGTATAACATTGTCCACTGTGCCATTTTAGATAAGGCATTCCCAGCTGGGAGGCAGGATCTGCCATCGTTCTGCCACATTGTGCTTTGGTTCCATACTTTGGTTCCATACTGAGTTTTTTACCAAGGAGGAATAGGAGCCCCCTGTGCTTGGCCTGAGGAGTCTTGGTGCTGGGGTTGTGCTGCAGTGTGGCAGTTTAAGCCCACCACATGCGCTGTGAGAGGAAGCAATGGCCGTGTGCTCCTGTAAAGAGTGACAGTCTTGTCACTCCAGGAGCAGTTACTTCTACTCTGTCCTACGGGTCGCCATGAGTCAGAATGGACTGCATGACAGGAGATGGTCGGTGCTTGTCCCTGCCAGATCGGGAGAGCCCCCCAAATAAGACCACACTCTCACACCCATCTTGCCTTCTCTGTCCTCTTCCTGCCCCACTTATCTCTCTTCCTGACTGTTGTACCCTCAGAGGATAGGGCTGCATGCCCCATACACCTTTGGAATGGTACCACAGAAAGAAGGTGACCCAGTGGTTAGGAGTTCAGCCAGAAAAGTGGGAGATTGGAACCCACCAGCCGCTGTGCCAGAAAAAAAGATCTGGCTGCTTCTGTAAAGATAAGTCAAGGAAACCCTATAAGGCCCTTCAATTCCATCTTATAGGATCACTGTAGTCTTAATAATGATTAAGACTTAATAATGATCCCTTCTGACCATAATCCAGGCATGTCAATAGCCTTGCTATCAACCAGAGACTATTGTAAAGTCAATTGTGGCAGATGCCGTCAGGGTGCAGTGTAACACCCTATCATGCGTCGTTCTTTTGGCCCATTTTTGTTGTTTTAGTTTTTAATATCTTCTGCTTTCTTTTCGATGGAGGGTTTCCGGTGTTTTATTTTGTAATTGTTTTTCTCCCTCTTGTTTTTGTTTTGTTTGGTTTTGTGTATATTAAATCCAGGATGGGCAAATCTAAGAGGCAGTGACTGGCTCAATCCTTAGGGGAGGTTGGGGGGAAATGAGGAGCTAACAATAGTCGGTACGGGAAAGAAGATGTTCTGAAATTGGTGGCGGTGCTGATGGCACAACTCTTCTTACTATGACCGAACTGTGGACTTGTATGGTATGTGAATGAGATGCCAACAATACTACTACAGAGAGTAAAAGCAAGCACTGCACCTGCTTGATGGCACGCACAGAGGACCAGAGGCTCCGCACTCCATCGGCCAAGACCTCGCCAGCAGAGGGCACTCGGCTCCTTCGGCGAAGGCATCTCCGCGTGCTGGGCGGTCCCGGACCTCGGGGCGCGGGGACCTGGTTCGGAGCAGTGCCCCCACGGGGCCTGACGGCGAGAGCTGAGCCCCTTCCTGACGTCGGAAAAGCCTGGGGAGGACTGCAGTGCCCTCGTTGGCGTGGACAGCTGGGAGGCAGCCCGGCCCAGGGTGCGCCTGAGCCCTCAGTGCCCCGGTTTGGAACAGAAAGTGACAGGCTTCCCCCTGGGGTTCTGCGCCCACTCCCTCAGCCGCCCGCACCCGCTACCTCCCCGCCTGCGGACTTGCGCGCCCGCGGGACGGGGCTCTAGCCGTTGCTGGGCAACAGGCAGCCCCGCCGCCGCCGCCCGCCCGCGCAGCTCCCCCTAATATGGATGTAATTAGTGTACTTTTTACCTTCACACTGTCAATTGGAAACGGAATAGGGAAGCAGTGTTCTGCGGGGCCGGGAGCGGGCGCGCAATCTGTCTGAACAGCCTGCTCGGCACAAGGCGTACCTCCGCCCGCGCGGGCCCAAACCTCAGGGAGCCTTGCTGGAACACACTGCAGTGCCCTTGGCTCACACATGAATCTATGGGGCGCTCGGAGAAGAGGACATTTAGGTCACAAGTGCTTGATGACTGCAGAGAAAGGGGTATTTGAGGGGCGGTACATTGTCATAAAGCCATTCTCTCCATGACCTGCTGTGTTACAATCACAGCTGGGGCCTGGTTGTCTCTGAAATGTAATTCATCACCCACTTCCCACTAAACCAAACACAGCCGCCACGCCAGCACCACCCTCAAATGCACGGCCATCGAGTCCATCCGACACACACCGACCCTATCTGTGTAGGTCCTAGACTCGAGGGTTTCAGAGGCACGCATCTGCGCAGGAGCAGAAAGCCTCGGCTACCTTCCCCTTAGAGGTTTGAACCCACGACCTATGGGTGAGCCGTCCAATGCTTACCCTGAAACGCTATTTACCCCCTGAGAGGCAAGGTCTGGAGTGATAGCTCTTCCCCCTCTCTGTTTCTGTGTCTTTGTGTCTGTCTGTCTCTCTTTCCTTTCCCTGGGGGCCCCACAGAGGTCACCCATTTCAAAGGTTCAAGTCGAGGTGTGCCTGACAGTTCCCGGAGCTTGAAGTCCAGATGTTCAAGGTAGAAAGCTATCTGGGGAGCACTGCTGTTTATTGTTGGGTGCTACTAAGTGACCATAGTGACCCTGTGCACACGGAATGAACACCGGGCACTCTTTATGAAGCCATTTTAAATGGCCAACTATTTTCTTTCAGAAAAAGGCCAAACGTTGAGGGGAGGGGGTGGTGGTGGGGGATGAATCCTGGGTGAGCTGTGCAAAGGATGCTCTCAGCCAACCTCTAAGAATGGCATCCGTTTGAGTCCTGAACTCTGAAAGTCAAACTCACAGACATCGTGACTCACAGGGTAGAACAGCCCCCTGTGGGTTTCCGACACTATAACTCTTTATGGAGTAGGAAGCCTCCTCCTTTTCCCTAGCAGCTGGTGGTTTTGAACTCTTTACTGAAACAGCATGCCTCCTGTTCTCCTATGGCAGGGGATAGTGGGTTTCGGTTTGCAGCTCAATGCTGAAAACAGTGTGCTGGGGGGCTCCTTGAAGGTAGGGGTAGAGCTGCTGTAAGACGGTAAGTTACGAAAGATGTTATTACTTCTACCTTAGCTAAAGTGATACCACATACAGAACATGGGATATTTCCCTTTTGTAAGAAGACCTTTTTTTCCCCCTTCCCCTAGCAGAATCATTGTTACTGAGATGCTGAGAAAATGGTGATCTTGTCAAGCAAACGCAGAAAACCAATCAATACTAATTTCTTGGGTTCACAAAGAGCTTCACCTACTTACTCCCTGTGCCTTCCCATGGCCTTTTGGGTGGGTCCTGCCAGTCTTGTGTCCCACAGAGAAGGGAGCTGGGGCTTGGTCAAAGCTCACATTGAGTCAAGGGCTGGCATGAGACTAGCCTGCTCCCCTGTGACTGGACAGGGTGGAGATTAGCTCCCTGATGCCACCCTAACTCTGCCACTCACTACCATGAGGCCTGGGCAGCTTCTCTAGGCTTCAGCTTCCTCCATGAGTGAGGATGCTCAGTGCTTATTTTCTAGGGCTGGGGTCAATGTTGGAAAGTGTTCCAACAGTGCCTGCCACTTAACCAGCACAGGTATTACACACACACACACACACACACACACACACACACACACACACACACACACACACACACACACACACACACACACACACACACACACACACACCCGTTATCCATAACCTGGATCTCCTTTAAGAAAGGAAGACATGCTCAGGAACAGCCTCCAGCCTTCATTAAAGGAAATGTAAGACTTCATTTCAAAGCTTGCTATTAATGTGACTCATGCATTAACAATGAACTTCTCCCCCATTAAAAAGGAGTCCTTCTCTTCCCTATCACAATTCTAACTAGCTAATTGCCTTAACCGGTTATTTTTGTTAGTTCTTGGGAATAATGCACTCTTCTATAGGTTTACCTCCTGCTAGGCAATATGTGGGTCTTAAAGATTTTCTACATGTATACCAAACTCTATCAAACTGTAATTCTCTACTGACTTGCCTTGCAGTTCAGAAAGTCTTAGCCTGCAAAGAAACCACAGTGCTTTCTACCACCTGCTTGTTGAGCCAAACGGTCTACTTCACTTGGAAAGCATCCCATTTACAGCACCAAGATGTCTTGGGCAGTGCAGATAGCCCTCTTCTGAGTTAAGTGTGCAGTCAACATTCGTTATTGTTAATATTATTTTGCTGGTTTCAATTTTGTCTTCCTCGTGTTAGCTTCGACTTATGTCTGTGACCTCTGTCAGCCCGTGTCAGCCAGGCCTCTCTTTTACCATGGAAAACCTCTACTACTTAATTCAGTCTTCCAGACCTTCAACTACTCAGGTTGCTATCATTACTGCCTCTCACAATTTTCCCGCAGCCGTAGAAGAATTGATTTGCATTTTAAAATAATTTATGCAGGTTAGCTAGACATGCTAGAATTTCAGACAAGGAAGGTGGAAAAGGTCGGATCTGGGCCTACATTTTATCTCCAGTTTGTAGCTTCCTTGTCTAATAGCCTCCTTTACATTACACAGCAATCCAAACTCTGTTAGTAATAGAATGATTGAGAGGGACAGAAGCTGAAGAGAAGTCGAAGAACTTGAGGAGAAAAGAGAAACACCACAACACAGACGGCAGAATGTTTACGAGAAGAACATCTTCACCTAGGCTGGAACAAAATGAGGACTGTTTATTCCAACACTTAAGTCAGAGTATCCCATAAATGACTACCTCAAATAATTTCAAAGGCCCCACTTACATATATGGAAGGGAGAAAAAACCAACAACAACACACCCAGTGACTCTGGGTCACACAAAATTATTTGATATTTATTGACTTACACAATTCAAAAAAGCAGAGAATAATTGCACTCTGATATAACAAAAAAGGTTGGTTGAGCAAACAGTTTCCCTATCTTTAAAGCAGAAAAAGGTGCCACTAAAAAAATGACACTGTCTTGAACCTGGGAATCTTGACAACATCTACCAAATTTCTCAGCATGCACTCAGCCACCTGCCCGTGGCCGTGGAACAAAAAGATTCTGCTTTGTTATTTTGGAATACAAAGCTGTTTGTTTTCAGAAAACGTTAAAAGTTCGGGTATTCCGTACTTTTCCTTTGTACAGAACTCCCATGTAGCACTGTTGCTCTTAATTGTACTGTGTACATGTAACCGGTTATGTTTCTGGTGGGATGCCATATGACACGGCTCTCTTTGAAGGCTCATGTCTGGCCCTGAGAGACCCAGACAGGTTTGAGAACGGCAGATTCGGAAGCACGGCAAAGGTGCAAGTCACAAAGAAATCACAGTTTAGAACAGTACATTGAAATCCTCGTGCTAAATCAAAAGAGGTACCCCCTGGTGCCCAACATGCATGTTTATATTCCACTGTAGAGACCACCACAATTTAAAAAGCACTGGCTCCCAAGGTATGCTTGTGTGCTAACATTTGGCGCTCACAGGACGACCGACACGAATTACATTCACAGCGGTGATTCTGTGTTCAAGGTTCTCCAGAATCTCCATTGACTAAAAATGAGGTAGATACATTTTTAAGGGTTTTATTGGTTGTACGCCTAATTTCCTTTCGACTTTGATATATCTTTTATAAAAAGTAGAATTCAAAAATACTTAAAAGGTTGAAAGTGTCTGAGCACTTGGTGTAAAAGTGGAGAAAAAAAATATGATTTCAAAAGGTTAGATTTTGGAAAGTTGCTTTACCTCATTTTCACTTTAAAAACAGGATAAACGCTTTGAATCACAACACCACCACCCACCCGAAAGCAGACAAATAAAGAGCTTCATCCAGCATTGTAAGAGACAACTTTAGCTCTAGCTCCTAGGCCAGCCTGATCAGCTGCCACCCCTTTATCTCAGCCCCTAGATCACAAGAACGCTCCAGAGATTTTGGAATGCCGTAGTGGGGCGGGGGTGGAGGGGTGGATCTCACTGAGAGCTCTAACCCCGGTTCTGGAGACAGGTCTGGCCTCAGACAGAAGCGTGGAGTCGTTCGTGGCCCCCTTGGGTGAAACAGGCTACCGACAGATGAAAACAGGATGCGGCGGGTGTTGGGCCACGGTGGAGAGCATGTTTAAACGTGCAGGCAGAGGCTGTTGGCTCAATCAGGCTGTCTCCTCAGGGGGTGGTCAGGTTGTGGGGGGCAGGCTGGGCACTAGGCCAGCGAATGGCCTCGGGGTGGTTCTCCTAGAGACTTCTGAGAAAGAGGGCAGGGCCCCTCGGATCTTGGTCTTTTTGCGTGAAACCATGGGCGACGCCAAGAACTTGCTGAAGGAACTGGACTTCTTGAGACCTCGAGCCAGGTCCTGGAACATCAAGTCATCGGCCAGGACGCCCAGAAACGCGCTGGTGGTGCTGCTGAGGATGGTGGCGGCCACTTGCACGGGGCGCCGGGCCGCAAAGCTGCCGCCACCGCCGAGGCCGTCGGGCTCGGTCGCGCCGCGCGGGCTAGGGTCACCGAGTAGGCGGCGCAGGGAATAGGAGGCCCCCGGCCGCAGGTACTGGTAGGCTCGCCGCCCGCTGTGGTCGCGCACGTGCACCTGCGCCCCCAGGTGAGCCACCAGCAGCACCGCCGCGTCCTCGTGGCCGTGCAGTACCGCCAGGTGGAGCGGCGTGTAGCCGCCGTGGGAGCGCGCATTCACGTCGACCGGGGCGCCCCCGCGCCGCGCGACTTCCACCAGCTGCAGAGCCATCTCCCGGTCGCCGCTCTTGGCGGCCCAGTGCAGGGCAGTGAAGCCCGAGATGAAGTCGCGCTTGGCTGCCAGGCTGCAGTCGCGCAGCAGCAGCCCGTGCAACTGGTGAGTCCAGCGGCCGCCGGCGGCGCGCACCAGCCACTCGTGCTCGGCCGGCTCCAGGGGCAGGGCGGACGGGGGCGGCGCGGCGGGCACCTCCTCGGCGTCGGGGCTCAGCAGCCGCGCGTTTGGCCGTGACAGGCGCCTCAGGTGCGGGGAGCGAGTGGGGCCCAGGCCGGACTCCTCCACGGAGAGGCGGCGCAGCAGCAGCGGGGTGTCCCGCGGGCTGGGCTCCTCCGACTGCTGCCGGCGCAGGCGCTGCTCCTCGGCGCGCACCCGGAGCGCGGGGTTCGGCACGTGGCGCGGCGCCGGGTCCGGCACGTAGCGCACCGGCAGCATGCAGGGCTTGGGCGGCGGCGCGCGCGGCGCTGGGGGCGGCGGTCCTTTGGGCCTCGGGGGCCCAGGCTCCGGCTGGGGTTGGGGCTCCGGGGCGCGGAGCGAGGCTGCCGCAGGCTGTGATGTCGATGGCGGGGCCCCGTCTGCGGACAGGCCCTTGGAAGGCCCGACTGGCTCCGAGGCTGGACCGTGGGCGTCCGAGGGCCCCGGGGCCCCGCGGGCGGAGCCTACGCCGTCCGGCTCCCCACTTGGCTGAGCCGACTCTGGTGCCCTAGCCCCGGGGGGGCCCTGCGGCTCTGATGGAGGAGCTGGGTCCTCGGGTGGCTCATCGGACTGTTGGGGAGACGTCCAGCCCGATGAGACGGGAGCGCGCTCGGACCGGGCAGCGGGCGCGCTGGGGGTGCCAGGCGGCAGCTGCGGTGCCCCGGGGGGCGGCGGCTTTTCCTTCAACACCACGAACTTGACGCCGTCCAGGTCCTTCACCTCCGCCACGTCGTGGACGAACTGCGTGAAGCGGTCCCTGCGGGCCGCGCGGCCGCGCGGGTCGCCCGCGTCGAGCAGCGGCTTGAAGCGGCTCAGCAGCTCCGAGTTGCGCACC